GAAGTTTTCATTTATTTATTTATTTATTTTTGGGCATATATTTGTTATGAAATCTACTAATAAGAATAAGGCAAAATATAAGTGTGATTTTACATAAAACTTCTGATAACTATCAATTTTTCCAGGAGCGGAGATTCTGGATATTATCCATCTCCTCTTTTTTTCTTTCTTTGTTTGGTTTTCTCTAGCTTTTATTACCCTTGTTACAGATTAATTAAATTGTATTTATACGTTTAATTTTTATTTGACAATGCACACCGAGATTAACAACCTTTCACGCTTACAGTCAGAGGGACAAAGAAATATCAGCTCTGAAGGAAATTTGTTTTGACAAAAACCAACTTGTAATTCTTTTGTGTAATAACCTTTTTTTTCTTATGAAAATTACAATATTTATGGGCTTCAGGTGCAAATTGCTTAAATTTGATTTCAGATTGGGCCCACTTGGGGCTTCTTGTAGAGGTCAAAGGATGTGAACCATCAAAAGAGACATGGAAAGTTATTACTCTAGGAAGTTAGTAAGAGAGAGGGACAGGTGATTATATTCTCCACAAAATAAAATTAATACATTCCTTTGACCAACATTTTACATAAAGAAAGGAAAAATAAACAGAGGGTTTTCCAAATAAGCGTGCATGGGCAGTTGGGCACTCATTCGGAATGAGAGGTAGACAAACGACAGCTAAAGAGAGAAAATAGTGCAGGTCAGAAGGCCCCACTTGCTATTCATTTCTCACTCTCCCCATGGGCACCTAATAAAAAAACCTATACACAAATTCAAATGAATTTAACAGATTGAACAATTCTCAATATTTCTGCATCCGAGGAACTTTTCACAACTATAACAAAGCCATCTCAGGCCTCGGCGTCATGAATCCCGTGGTCATTTTCATCCCCACTAAAAGAGTGTACTTGTTGTGCGCAGCGGAAATTTCGGCAGAGTTTCTGGTGCACAATAACAGAGAAAGATCGATAAGAATTCTTGTTTCTCAAAGGGAACAAGAATCTGAAAGCCTAATATCCTATCAAAGTAGGATATTAGCTCTTCCTCTCGTCAGCTCTAAGACTGCGCGTCGAGGGATCCTAAAACTATTACAATGGCCACAAACTCAAACAAACCAATTTTTACGTGGTTCGGCAAACTGCCTACGTCCACGGGGCAAGGAGGGGGGATCTACTATTAAAGGGGGAGAACACAATTAGGGTTTACAATCACTCAATCTAAACCCTCACACAACTATCTCTCTCAAAAGCACAAAAGGATTACACAGAAAACTCCTCTCAAAGTCGACTCTGCACGCTGCCCAAGAAAGAAAACTTCTTCCTTTACACAGCAGCCGAAACTTTGCTATCTGCCTGTTACTGCAGCCAAAAAGAAAACAACTTTTTTTCTTCCTTAATCTCCTCCTGCACGCAAATCAACCGCAAAAAGGAGCTCCTGTACCAACCCTTTGTACAGCCGCAAAAAATCCACCTTTCACCGCCTCCTGCACACCTGCACCAAGCCCTAGAGACACTCTTTATAGGCGCAGGAATAGACTTCGGGTGGGCCAGAATTTGCAAAGAAAAGGACTCCTCAAGTCTTCACGTGTCCGCTGGCCCCCACCACAATTTCTTTTACGCCGGTCTCTGCGGTCACGTGAACTCTCTTCACGCAAAGAGATTTGAGAACATCACATGGGTGGGTCCCATGTACTTCTCATTCACAATTCTCCACCTCGGCGAAGTTTTCCCAAAACTGAGCCGACACCAACCAAAACAAATGTCTCACTTGTTGTGTCCAGTACACCGTGAAACAATTCACGACAACAGACTCAATCCATAACAAGTCGAGAACCCAAAAAAGAATGCAAACACTCTCCAAATGTCAGTATCAACTCACCAAATCGATCTCACCCCCATCAAAAATCCAAACCGGCTGCATCATAAGGACTGCCTACGTATCCTCTTGCCCAAGGAATCAAGCCGAACGTAGTTCACCCAAATGGCCGCGAACGACGCAAATCCACTAGAAGAGTTCGCAATCCTTCTCTAACATCACGATCAAGTCTACGACTGATAGCACCTCCAATGGCCTCAAACACCTCCACCTGAGGTGAACCAATGACCATATCCAAACTACATCTATCAGCTGCACTCGAATCAAAACTCAACTCATCATCTGCATCCGAATCCAAATGACTTCCACGATGTGTCACCTCAGCTGGAATCTCAACCAATGCAGAATGACCTGGAGTATGTGGGAAAATCTCCACCCAATGTGGAGTAGCATCACTCTCCACCCGCTGCGATACCTCTAAGGTCTGTCCAAAACTCTCCACCTGCTGAGAGTCAATTAGCTCCCTCATCGAAGCCTCAACCAAAGTGACACTACCAGACCTATCTTCCAATGGAGTTTTACCTCCAATCACAGCAGTTGACAACTCTTTAATAGGAGGACCCAAATATGTCGAAGCCTCTGTCCAGAAACTCTTCTGCAGACCATTGCTTGACAACAAACACCGATCCTCCTCCAGCAAGGCACGGTTCTCCAAATTTGTCACCCTATCTAGTTGCCCCAAGATTTCCTTTCCAACGAAGTGTCTCGAAATGCCGTGAGCTCGGCTCCAATACAGAAATAGGTCCATCTTGTACCTCCCACCAGAATGGAGTACCTTCACCTTTCTGTCTGTCACACACTTCTTCAATCTGTTGGAAACTACTAGGACTTTCTCCAAAGGGGATTTGGTTGCAACCCAAACACGCCTAGAACAGCCACCAACAAAGGAAACCAAACGCCTATTACCTCCCAATGATGCCCCCTTGGAAGGCCCCCAAACATCCACGTGAACACCTCCGAAACGACCCTTAGCTCGGTGAATAGAGGTGCCAAACTTCACCTCGGTCTTCTTGCTCACATCAACATGTTCACTGGACTTCAAACTGCAGGTCTTTACACCCTCTTTCAATCTATGCGAGGAATCAATACTGGAATGGCCAAGCCCCAAATGCCGCAGTCTAGTCGAATCAATAGAAGTCGCCAGCTCTCCACCTGTCACTATACCTCCAGTCAAGTAATACAGGTTATTTCTCCTGACGCCCTTCATCAAAATACGAGAGTCTCTCGCAATCTCGAGAACCATGTCCTCAACACGAACCTTCAGACCCTCTCCAACCAAAGCTCCAATCGAGATCAAGTTCTTCCTCAAAGAAGGAACATATCTCACATCGTTTAACTCTCTAACAGTCCCGTCAAACATCTTTATGCGAATTCTTCCTATCCCAAGGATCTGGCATGCACGGTTATCAGCCATGTACACCACACCACTATCCACCAGCTTCTCAAAACTGGAGAACCATTCCCTTCTAGGGCACACATGATAGGTCGCACCACTATCCAACATCCATTCAGATTCCTCCGAATAGCTATCTGTAGGACTGATAGAAAGCGAATAAATAGAAGAGTCAGAATTATTACCATCCGATACGATGTTTGCTTCTGATGATGGTTGCTTCCCTTTTCCCTTCTGCTTATTCTTCATCCATTCGTCGAGCTTTGGGCAGTCTTTCTTCCAATGACCAGTCTCCTTGCACCAAGCACACTGATCTTTTCCTACTCTAGACTGTGACTTCCAATTCTTTCGGTTTGGACCCTTCCCTCTTGCGACCAACGCCTCCGCTACCGGCTCAACCGAAGCCTCCTTATCCTTCTTTCGAAGCTGATAATTCACAAGTGCAGCGGTGACCTCACTATACGAAAGTGATGCCTTCCCATTAATCAGAGTAAGAACGAAGGTCTCATATTCCTCGTCGGGCAAGGAACTCAACAACAGCAACGCCTTGTCCTCATCTTCAATCTTGACATCCACATTCGCCAAATCCGCAAGAAGCTTTGTGTAGTGGTTCATGTGATCTCTAATGGAGGTTCCCTTCTTGTTTGTGCCATTAAACTTCTTCACATCTATCTTCATAGAGTGGATATTCAAACTCTGAATGGTCTTCGCGCCAGAAGCACCACCCTCGACACCCGAAGCACCTTCTTTCCCCGACATCTTACGCACCAACGAACGAAGAATAGATCCAAAACTAAAAAGATAGAGTCTTTACCAAAAAGATCCCCTCGGGGCTCGATCCGGCGACGGTCGACTCGTACCCTAAGTTCCCCTACTCGGCGTCGAAAGGGGGAGATAATGTTTGCCCCATCTGTCTTTGTGAGTATGAAGTGTTGTGCGCAGCGGAAATTTCGGCAGAGTTTCTGGTGCACAATAAGAGAGAAAGATCGATAAGAATTCTTGTTTCTCAAAGGGAACAAGAATCTGAAAGCCTAATATCCTATCAAAGTAGGATATTAGCTCTTCCTCTCGTCAGCTCTAAGACTGCGCGTCGAGGGATCCTAAAACTATTACAATGGCCACAAACTCAAACAAACCAATTTTTACGTGGTTCGGCAAACTGCCTACGTCCACGGGGCAAGGAGGGGGGATCTACTATTAAAGGGGGAGAACACAATTAGGGTTTACAATCACTCAATCTAAACCCTCACACAACTATCTCTCTCAAAAGCACAAAAGGATTACACAGAAAACTCCTCTCAAAGTCGACTCTGCACGCTGCCCAAGAAAGAAAACTTCTTCCTTTACACAGCAGCCGAAACTTTGCTATCTGCCTGTTACTGCAGCCAAAAAGAAAACAACTTTTTTTCTTCCTTAATCTCCTGCACGCAAATCAACCGCAAAAAGGAGCTCCTGTACCAACCCTTTGTACAGCCGCAAAAAATCCACCTTTCACCGCCTCCTGCACACCTGCACCAAGCCCTAGAGACACTCTTTATAGGCGCAGGAATAGACTTCGGGTGGGCCAGAATTTGCAAAGAAAAGGACTCCTCAAGTCTTCACGTGTCCGCTGGCCCCCACCACAATTTCTTTTACGCCGGTCTCTGCGGTCACGTGAACTCTCTTCACGCAAAGAGATTTGAGAACATCACATGGGTGGGTCCCATGTACTTCTCATTCACAGTACTCAGTCAAATAAACTCTCCACATTTCAACTTTAATGGGAAAAAAATACACCTACCTTATCACTAAACCACATGAAAAACGCTTATTTATATGATGACCATTAGAAGTTCAAACCACTGCAAGATCACCAGCCTTTGCCTATGAGCCACAGCCAGTCAAGTGTTACTCCTGAGAATAACCCCGCGATAAGAAACAAGACGAGCAAGTTCCCCAAAGCATTCTGCTCAGGTCCCTGCACAAACAAAACGCGACATATATATGCCCATTAAAATATAATCAAATCATCATCGTCTTAATTAGTTTTCAATATGGACAAGTTAGAATTTAGTTCAACTAACCTTATAGCCTTTGGGTGCTTCTGTCATAACGCAAACTGTAAGATGACCATTAGTTATCCCCAACAATGACGTCAACATAATCATATAACCTTGGTCTCCATACTTAGCCGTGAAATAAAATGCTGGAATGAATAAGAAACGAGAAAGGATTGCTACCATGAGCCCCTTGCGTGAAGTTATATGTATGCATTTTATTAGAGGTGTGTATCTCCCAACAAGGTCCCATATGTTGTACATAGCAATCAAGACGAGAACATACCTGATAAAAAAACCACCAAGAAAACTTAGGATCGCAAGATAAAGCATTCTTCAATTAGAAATGGGTCAAGTTGCATATATATACCCCCATGCCCCTAGACTATTTTAATAGAACTTAGATGTCCCGTAGGAATCATGTATAGAATATCTTTTTGCCCTCAGTTAAACCGCAAAAAGATTAAATTTTCATCCAGATTGAAGCAAAAAAGTAGTGCTGTGAAGTTCAGGGGCTGTAAAACTCTAATTAAAAAAAAAGGAGGTAAATGGCTACAACAATACAGGGGATATATCTGCAACTAAGCCTTTAGGAATTGAAGGACGAAGCAATTACCATGTGCCCGAGCCATGTGATCCAGTATCTTCCGACAAGAATCCAGGAAATATTGACAATGTCAGAACATATATCAGATACAAATCAAGTGCGTAGTCTATGTTCTGTAATATTAGTTGCTTATTGCTTAAACGGTCTAGATGTTTTGGATCTTCTTCAACCTGCAACAATTTAATATAATTAGCATAATATCTTGATCTATCAGAAGTAAAGCCTATCAGAGAGGTACAAACTTCTGTGTTTTGCTTTCTGACGCCAGCAGCAGCTAGGTCAGCTGCAACTGTTTGTGATCCTTCTGAAGCTGCCTTGGATCGATAGTACTTGACAATGGGCAGCTTGGGAAAGACAAATGCATAGAGAAGAACACAAAGCAGCTCCCAAAATGCTGAGATTCCAAAGAACAGCACTGCAATAATACAGTAATAAGGTTGGTTACTACCGAAAAGTTTCAAGTGTATAAGTTGAAGAAAAATATTGTACTTCGTGTTCAGTATATTAAGGAGAAAAGAAATTCTCAAAAAGATAAACAGATATTATATTCTTTTGGAACAGAGCAAACTGTAACAAGCTACATTATTTATATAACAGAGAAATTGCAGTAATTTCTTAAGAACATGTACGCTAACAACAGATAAGATGTCTATACAGATATGTAAATGGTGATGCTTTTTGTATACATGTGTGACAAATTGAGGCCTTATGCATATATGTAAATGTTTATTGGATCTAGTTAGATTTATTCTTGATTTATGCATAATATATATATGTTTGCGTCGAAAATTGATGTATTCATTGCGGTATTCATTACAACTTCAATCGTTACAATGAAAACAAAAAAAGATTGTCTTTTTATAAGACTTTTACACAATGAAAACAAAAGTTTACAACTCTCGTCAAAACAAACGCAGAGATCGTTTATCGGTCTTCTGCTTGCGTGGGATCTTTGCCTGTGCCGGGGTTTATCCGTGGACCGCCTTAGATCTGGATCCGGTTGATGAAAAATTTGGCAGAGCTTCGCCTTCGCCGAGGAAGTATTTGATTTGAAGCGCTGAAATCGACCAAGCGAAATCAGGGCTCTTCTCGAGATTAAGACCAAGCCTAATCTCAAGGGACGGACGGGAACGGGCGTCGGATCTCTCGAACTCTCCTTCTTTATGCCGAAGAACTCGCCAAGATCTGTCAACCCTCGCTGAAATTCGTGCTCGTTTGACTCCACAATCCGGCAGCACCTCCTCGTCTTGATAATCAATCGCCCCCCTTCAAAGAGGCCCTAGGCTTGTATTTATAGGGCCTCGAATGCGGTTATTTGGATGAGAACAAGTGATTTGGCTCTATCTTCAGTTAACAACAGCCTAACCACGTTTGGGGATGATATCAGGTCAGTTAGAAACCCCTGGAACCAACAAATCTCGAGAAAAACCATCCAAAACCGAACCGGGACGAAACAGTGCGCGCAGGACAAGTCTGACCCGCGCTTGCGCGGGTCGGATCAGTCCGACCCGCGCTTGCGCGGGTCGGACCATGGGCTCTCGTAGACAATTTTAGACGCCTACAGATACCCCCTCCAAAGTGTTTCAGCCTCATTCTTTTATAGAGGAGTCTGAAACGCTTTGGATATGATGGATCCCCACCTTCAGTCGGTGTTAAAGGACCTACAGATGGTTTCGATTCTTGACTTCTCCATATTTTAGCGTATTCTGTATTTTGTCGAATAGCTAAGATTTTCTCGGTACTGCGTTTATCGTCTGACCGTTGTTGAAGCCTTGAACCGGAATTAGTGAGTGGGTTTTTTTTTTTTTGTTGATATGTCATTGAGTTGACTTTTGGATCAATTGCAACGCGTTGACTGGCGTTGACCTAGGGCTACGCGTTGACCGGCGTTGACCTTAGGGTTTCGAATCGATCGGCGTTGACTTTCATCGCAACGCGTTGACCGGCGTTGACCTAGGGCTACGCGTTGACCGGCGTTGACCTTAGGGTTTCGAATCGATCGACGTTGACTTTCATCGCAACGCGTTGACTGGCGTTGACCTAGGGCTACGCGTTGACCGGCGTTGACCTTAGGGTTTCGCGTTAACCTGAGGAGAACCAGTTTATACTCGTGTACTCCTGGGAGTTTCGGGAATCAGTTTAACCTCGTGTACCCGCCGGAGGTTGCCAGGTTATCCTTAAGAATTATTATCTGTAATATTCTCTAGGAACTTCCTGTCAAAAATGGTAAACAGTTTAGACTCATATACCCGTTGGAGTTCGGATTTTGAATATTCCGATAAAAGGCGAATATATCGCGAAATCACCCAAAATATAAAATTGGGTCCCGAATATTCCAAAATAGGTGAAAAATCACGAAATCACCCAAAATATAAAATTGGGCCTCGAATATTCTGGAAATAGACGAAAATATCTCGCAATTATTTGGGAGACGGAATTGAACTCCGAAAATTCCCAATCTGACTGAAAATGCCGCTCAATTATCCGGGAAATGAAGTCGAACTCTGAACATTCCAAATATGTGCAAAAACACCGTGAAATTGTCCGGGAGATGAGGTTAAGCTTCGAAAATTTCGAAAACGGACGAAAACGGACGAAAATACTGCAAAACGGACACTGAATTGGGTCCGACCCGCGTGATCGCGGGTCGGATTAATCCGACCTGTGTGATCGCGGGTCGGATTAATCCGACCCGCGAGCACGCGGGTCGGACATGAATCCGACCCGCGGAACGCGGGTCGGATGAGGGGGGGGAGAAAAAAATAAAATCCCGATTCTGTTCTCCTTCTTCTTCAACTTCGGTTTCAAGACTTCATCTTCCCCATTTCACTTGTTCAAGAACTCTTCTAGCTCCAGAGTTCCAACAGAGATCCGACTCCCCTACCTTTAAATCCTTCATCTTTGCTAAGATTAAGCCTCCAAGCAAGCTTCTGATCTTTGGCCGAAATCCCCATCTTCCCAAAAGCTAGGGTTTGGGATTTTCTTCTTCTTCAAGCTCTATTCTTCTTGAGATTTGGGTAAGTTTTCTTCCATGGCTTCTTGTGATTTCAGTTTTGATTTCTTGCCTTTGAACTCATGGATTTTGGTTTGGTAGTTGAAAACCCTAACTCTTAAAATTGGGGGAAAATCCGAAACTTGATCTTAGGATGATGGCCGATTTTCTTGATCTTTATTACATGAATTTGTGTAAAGAACTGACATTGATGGCTGAAACTCTTGGTTAGCCGAAATTTCCACTGTCCATGGCCAAAAGTTACTGTTCATGGCCGAATTTCCTCTTCATGGTTGATCGTTGATTTAATCTGTTCCCCTTCAAGTCCACAATGAGATTATTGTTGCACATGCTTAGGATATGCTAAGTTATTATTCTCTTGCTGCTGAGGCTTTAGCATAAGTATATATATTTTTGTTTTTAGCCTGACATGGCACTTCCATAGAGATTGAATTGAAATTTTGTGCATGACTTTCAATTCCACATAATCTTGGCGCAACTGCAACTTTCTCTTCTGTGCCTGCAGTGTTATTTAGACCACGATCATGTGCCATCTTGTCATCTTGCCTAGACTTCACCTGATATGCTTATGTATAGAACTATAATTGTTTTCGAACCTTTCTGAACTCCATTTACGCACACTGGTTTAGTCTCGCCAATTTTATGCCAACAAACATTGCCCAAGTCACCATTTAGACTCTTTCTAGGCATTTGCCTCTTATTTCCGTGTGCTTTAAATGATCTATGGAGAAGGTAGAACAGACCTCTATCTTTTTTATGCCAGGTAGCTTGTGAGGAGATGAACAGAAGGTTTAATTATCTTCATCAAAGGAAATAATGAATTCATCAACAAAGGAATGAGGTTGTGAGCTTGCAAGTCTGCATGTTTGACCCTGTGACTTTTAACCTGATTTTCCCTTGAACTTTCATGCTTGATTACGCACGTGAATTATGTAGGAGGCGCAGTCTGCTTGACTTGTATATTTGATTTTCCTCTCACTTTAACTTGAATAGAGGATGCCGTATAGGTTTAATTGGACCTTTAACTGAAAAAATCCGTCTTGTAGAATTTCAGTTGAAGATTCACAATTTCCCTTTTAAGCTCTGATTCATATATCTTGATTCTTGATCTGACTGTGTTGTTGATCTTTGTTACAGATTAGCCATGTTGACGCTTTGGACCAGCTGGAGCGCGAATTCCGACGGTTACAAGAGTTGAAGACTGCTGGTAGCTCAACGTACATAGCCATTTGGATGGAATCTCGTCTACAAGCATGGCACGACACTCGGGCTTCGGCTGGACTTGAGATTCAAACGCAACAAAGTCGGGTGGATCAAATGGAGGCCTTGGCTATCTTGGGGATGGCGAAGGATGACTTGGAGCGTTCACAAGTTGTGATATCCGGAAAATTAGATCTCTCGAAATAGAAGTTAGCCAAGATCAAACAAGAGGCTGCGAAAACATTATCCCTCACCGAGGAATCCTTCAAGGTTGCATTGCAGTGTGAGCTTGAGCGAACTTATACAGAGGAATTGACTAAACTTGAACAGCAAGTCCGTAGTCACAAACTTCATGTAGATTGATTGTAACTCTTGTACCTGCAAACTCAATTTTATTAATAGAAAATATGTCTTTTTCATTCATTATGTCTCATTTATTATGATGTCTTACTCCGTATGGAATAATCAACCATAATACTTGTGGGATTTTTGGCAAACCCCCAGCCTTCAACGGGTTTGGCGTGCCTTTACCGATTACCGTTTGAATCGGGCTAGCATGTGAATTATTAAAGCCCGTTTCACATGTAACGTTGTGCTAAGAGAGTTAATTCTCTTAGACTTAGTGCTATTGACTTACCCCTTCTTAGGTTTCGGGATAAAATTCCCCAGACTTAGACTCTGGTGTCTTTTTCAATCGGTAAAAGACTAAACCGGCGACGCGTGTTAGACGTAGACTTAGGATTTTTGGCAAACCCCCAGCCTTCAACGGGTTTGGCGTGCCTTTACCGATTACCGTTTGAATCGGGCTAGCATGTGAATTATTAAAGCCCGTTTCACATGTAACGTTGTGCTAAGAGAGTTAATTCTCTTAGACTTAGTGCTATGATTTTGAATACATAGGCTTCACCATTTCTTACGGAAATATGACACCCGACAACGCGTGGTAGGCGCTGACTTACCCCTTCTTAGGCTTCGGGATAAAATTCCCCAGAATTATACTCTG